GTGTTGAATGTAATGCAGATGCCAACCAAAGTCAATCAAATGATATTGTAAATCATGTAGGAGTACAAGTTTTGTTAGATGTTTCAGATGTAAAAGAATTTTCATTTGAGTGTTCCTTTTTTAATGACAACTGTAGTAGTACTTCAATAACTACACCAAATAATTTTATTCTTGGGCAAAAAAAAAATGTTAATGATAAGTCTTGTGGTCCTAGTTCTGAACACTTCAGTTCATGTTTAAGCTGTGAAAAGTTTCATGGTTTTGAATCTGTAAAAAATGAGAATTCTTTAAAAGATTTGACTGGGTCTTCGTACGCTGTTTTTAACATACTTTTAAATATGCTTCCAGATGTAGGTATAAATAGTAACTTAACAAACAATAATAAGCTTCTACTGTTTTTAATGAAACTAAAACTTGGTGTTACTTTTTCAGCTCTTGGAGTTTTATTTAATATTCATCGTACCACTGCCAGCAGAATTTTTATAAACTTACTGTCTATCTTATGTGAAAAAACTAAACATTTTATATTTTGGCCTAGTAAAGAAACTATCTCAGAAACTCTCCCCTATGCTTTCAAAAAAAATTATCCAAACTGCCGTTGTATCATAGACTGTACAGAAATAAAAGTAGAGCAGCCTCCAACAGTTGAACAAAGAGTATGCATGTACTCAAGGTATAAGAGTGCTTACACCATAAAATGCCTTGTTAGTATAACACCAAATGGTGCTATTAGCTTTCTGTCTAAATGTTATGGTGGACGTTCTAGTGATACATTTATCACTAACGACAGTGGATTTCTTTCAAAACTAGAACCAGGTGACCAAGTTTTAGCCGATAAGGGGTTTCCAGGTATTAAAACGAATTGTGAAGATAATAGTTCTATTTTAATTATGCCCCCAATCTTACACAATGGTAGGTTTAGTGAAGAGGAAGTTATAGAAACTTATTCTGTTGCGAGTGTCAGAATACACATTGAGAGACTCTTTGCCAGGCTTAAAACATTTAATATATTAAATAAAATTCAAATAGAGTTGCTCCCTTATATTGATGATATAATGCATATTTGCTGTTCTTTAACCAATTTACAACCACCAATCATTAAACAGTAACTCGGTTTATATTTTTTCACATTCTTATATACTAAATTGAGAAACAATACTACAATGTAAAAAATACTAGTATAAATAATAATAACTACTATTTATGTTACTTTTAATTTGTATTTTTTTTTTTTACTGTCTATATGAGCACTTTATCATATTATATTTTTAAACATTAAAACATACAATTTATAATAATTTTTATTGCTGTAAATTAATATAAACATGAAATGAACATAATCAACATTTGTATTGTAACACTTTATTTAAAAAAAAAACAAAATAACAAGTTCACATGAAAAAAAAATATTATTAAACATATGATTATGTACCAATTATTAACAATTTAAATACCTTTGGCCAATTTTGGTAAGTAAAAATAAAAATAAAAATATTCAATTTTAGGCAACAGAGACCTCATAAACTCATCATCTTGATTAATAGTTAATAAAATTGGTGTAATGGTATTATAAATAAATAAATCACAGAATTTTAAACCTGAACAGTACATCAATAGTTGAACTTGAGTGTAATATAAAGAAGATCTTTTTAACTCAATTTTACCTTTTACAATATGTAAGTATTTTAAATTAGGCACATTGTTTTCAATTAATTGTTTATTTTTACATGAAATAGGACATTTTATCTCAAGAATTTTGTAAATTTCTCCATTCTGGAGAACAAGGCCATCAGGGCTTGCACAAACCCATGGCGTTTTACAATGAATAATTAGTCCAGCTTTTAGTACCTCTACTACATTTAACTCTTGATATTTTTCAAAAGCTGCAAGCTCAGTATCTTGACCATATTTGACATTAATACTACCAGTTTTACCTAAATTAGTTTCTTTTATAAGAGTGTCTGCAAGCTTGTTGAGGCCAACAGATGTCCAATCCCTGCATGTTTTAATTTTATGCGCCTTAACACTTGCTGAAATACGGAAATGCCTACAAACTTTCCAAATATCTGATAATGACTGAGCCATGGTTTCATTATAGATATTTAAACAAGTTTCAGATGATAAAGCAATGTTTTTTATGTAAAAATCATTTTCTTTGAAATTAAGTGGAAATTTTAGGTAAAAAATATTATTTGTGAATCGTTCATTTTGGTTAAGTATTATGGTTGAAAAATGTTTTTGGTTTAAACTATGTGTAATACTTTGTTCAACTTGGACAATAATATTATTTAAAATTTGTTTACACTCCCTTTCAACTATAGTAAGGCTTTCTTCTTTTAAAAGTTTACTAAAGCTAGATGGAATATTTAAAATATTATATTTTGAAATTAGATCTGCATGACTTACAGGCTCTACAACATCTATAGCTGTTTTTTGTTTCTTACGTGGAAATAGTTCTTCGATGGTTTTTCCTTTCTTATATTTTAGTTCACCCACTTTCGATGGTTTGCCCCATTGCTGCGGTAAATCTGTTTTTGAAATATTTTGTTCATTATTAATGTAGTATATCAGTGCACATATGTGCTTACATTTTCCGCCTGCCCCTGCAGGACAGTCACATGATGTATGATTCACTCGTCTGCTCGAATCAATCTAATAAATAAAAAAAAGTACTATAATTTATGGGGAATAATATTGTTATTATTATAATTAAATGTAGGTATAACCAATTAAACAATAATTTTAAATATTTAATTTAGTATGTTTTAAAAATAATTTTCAACTTACTTCAAGAGTAACTTGCCATGGGTTAGATGACACAGAAGTTTGTCTAATACAATGTCCTTTTATTCTAGAAGCAACATGTTTGGTTTGCTTAGGTTTTATTTCTTTGACATCAAACAAATGCCCACTTTCAACTAACTTTTGCCCTTTATTGTTAGGAAATTCAAAATTACACAACACAGATTGAAAACCACATCTAATAATTACATCAGCCATTTGTGAAGTGATTTGCAATTATAGGTAATTAAATGTAAAACAATTGCAATTTTAATTTAAAAAATATAACAAAATAATTAATAACAAGGTATGATAATAATATTGTTGTTATTTTAGCTAATTTCATGTTCTATTTATAACATATTATGCTCATCATTTTTCAATATTATAATCATAGTCCATAGACATTCTATTATGGCTATGATTATAATTTATATTGTTATTACTGATAGGTACCCATACTTAAAATATTAAAGTAGTTGAATATTTTACAGTTAACGCAATAAGTAATACTGCAAAAGTGCCAACGAAAATAATTCTTTGCCTATTAAATAGGTAGGTACAAATTAAATATTTTAATCATAATATATATGTGTGTGGAGTACTGGAGTGTGAGTTGTATATATTTTATAAACTAAAATTTGATTGCTCATTTTTCGATTTTACCCGGTAAAATTTACATACATTTATTAAAAATTACTAAAACCTTCGGGGGGGGGGGGGGGGGAGGTTGTTGACGATTTTATGAATGAGCCTAATATTGCGCGTATAATCGTCGCTACCAAGTAGTACGCGAGTTGTCTCCCCAGAGCGTTAGTTGTCTTTCTGCACGGTGTCTATACTATAATATTATAATTTGTATTTATATTTTACAAGACTGAAGTCTGAAGACGAACTACAGATTATAAATTAAGATACTGTTTACTTAAATTTATGTCCCAACATGTAGACCGTAGAAACTGTATTATAACATAGCTTGATTTGAAGTTATTGAATTATTACTTATTTAAATATAATACCATTGATTATAAATACTATAGATAGCTCACTGCAGTACAAAATACGCTGCGCGCTGAATGGCGAGTAACGCTACGGGGCGCTCCGCTCGATATTTAGTTATGGCGTGTACCGCAATAATCGCTAGTATAGTTCATAGGAGTAGGGATTAGTCTTGAATTTTTCACTGTAGAGACAGACGTACATATTGACCACGGCTATAGATAATAATATTATCTATAGCCGTGATATTGACCTATCTTGGTTTCAATTCTCGGAGCGCCTACTAAGACATTATACAATACTCGTATAATACTATAATGTAAACTTGGTACCTAACTTGTCGTTACACTGGCGCACTACCAACGATTACAAAATAATAAATATTAAATACCTATCCATAATAATATAATCCTAGATGGGTGGCCTCCTTTTTGGCCAAAATGTACCCTTTCCATTTCAGCTAGTAGTACAGTTTTCTTTACAATTTAGTATTTACAATTATAACAATAGAATTTAAGCTGTAAGTAAAACGGTGACACCCCCCCCCCTCCACCCCATTAAATAGGTTGAATATTTATTTTTAAATCAGTCCCTAATTATTAAAATATATTAACTAGTTATTGTATAGTCATATTTATGTTTAATGTTTATAGTATGCATATTAGTATATTTGTATGTACATTTTTGTTAAAACACATTAGTACATTACATATACATTACGCATTTACACATAATATTTACTATATTATAGTATAGTCATTGTCATCAATCATCATATATATTTTCTAAATTGAAATATTATTCCATAAATAAAAATATTATTATACCTGCAATAGACTTCACGTTACACTCAATACGAAGTATTTTTGGCTCTTTTAAATTATACCATTGATTATAAATAGTATCATTAAACTATTTACTATTTATAATCAGTGCTTGTACGCTTGTACAAAATATTGGAATTTTATTATATTTATTATGAGTATACATGCGGAAAACATGCGCATTACGGACGTACAAATCGAACGATACTCGTTGATCATTCAAATTGTGTTGTTCTCAAATAATTACAATGTCTATAGTATAGACTGCGTGCGGTGGTACTACTAGCGCTCTGGGGAGACAACTATCATACTAGTGCAGGGGTAAAAACTATTACTAAACTAGTAACTAGTAAGTAGTAGTGTTGAATAATTTATTGATTATTATTATAAATTATAATGAGTGGTACTACAAAGTCAAAAAATAGTTGCTGTGTAGTAAATTGCAGTAATTCATATAAAAATACTAATAATATTACATTTTATCGATTTCCAAATCGTGATTACGAGAAAGAGACAAAAGAAAAGTGGATAAAAGCAATTAATAGAATCATGTAAGTTAATTATTTTTATTTTTCGTTCATAATAATCAATTAGATGTGTTTATGCCCTACATTATAAAGAAAAAAATGCTCAAATTAAATAGTTATTATTATTCTAATTTGTTAATATTTTTTTGTTGTAATTTAGAGAAAATGGAAAACCTTGGCGTCCTAGTGTTCATAGTGTTGTTTGTAGTGCCCATTTTATTAATAATAAGAGGTCATAATTAAGTTTTATTGAATATAATATAAATAATTTATTAAAAGTGATTAAACATTCTTAATAATTCCAATATGTGAGACATAGAAAAAATAGCACTTCTTATCATGAGTATTAATGTCTTTTTTATTTCTTTATCTTATATTTCATTTGTATTGATATTATTAAGAGTGTTTAATAATTTAAATCAAAATTTTAAATTATTTTGCTATTTAAATAATAGGTCTCTTGATCCCAGAAGCCCGTCGTATATACCTTCAATATTTCCTGAAGTATACAAAAAAAAAACCATCAATGTACTACAAAATATTGCCAGATATGAGCGCTCCATCAACCGTCAAAATCAAACCATGGAATTTCAAGAAATAAATAATCAAATAATACCTTCTACTAGTTCTACAGAACTAGATTTAAATAATATAACATCTATTAATATTAGTACTCAAGTAGCTTTTGAGGTGCCTGAGGAAAATTTTATTTTTTATTGTGTTTATGAAGGTAATAATAATGTAGGTACTCAAGCATCAGTAAATTTAAATCTAAATTTTACTAAACCGAAAAGTGCAGAAAAATCTTGTGGAGTAGATTCTTCAAATACAAGTTCTTGTTTGTCCTGCCTATCATTTCATGGATATAATTCTATACAGTCTGAAAATGCATTAAAAGATATAACAGGTGTAACTTTCAAAATATTTAATTTTCTTTTGTCGTTATTACCACAAACAAATCGTACCATAATTAGTACAGAAGATACCCTTTTAATTATGTTGATGAAAGTTAAACTAGGTCTAACATATTCAGCCCTTAGTACATTTTTTTCAGTCCATAGAACTACCATCAGTAGAGTATTTTCTGAATGTTTACTTATTTTAAGTCATAAAACAAATAATTTAATTTTCTGGCCAAGTAAAACAACTATTGTAGACACATTACCAGAGGTTTTTAAAAAACATTACCCTCATTGTAGGTGTATCATTGATTGCACGGAAATAAGAGTTGAGCAACCTCAAACAGTTCAACAAAGAGTTTGCTTGTATTCCCGATACAAAGGTGGTTATACAATTAAAGTATTAGTTGCAATTACACCAAATGGTATGGTTAGTTTTCTATCTAAAGCATACGGAGGTAGGTCTAGTGATAGTTTTATCACCAATGATTCCGGATTTTTAAATAAGCTTGAACCTGGAGACCAAGTTCTTGCCGATAAAGGTTTTCCTGGAATACAACCAGGTGTTGAAGGTCAAAATAGTATACTAGTTATGCCCCCAATGCTTCATAATGGTAGATTTTCTGAAGAAGAAGTAATAAAAACATATAATGTTGCTAGTGTCAGAATACACATCGAACGATTTTTTGCAAGATTAAAATCTTTTAATGTTTTGAATAAAATAACAACTGATCTTTTACAATACATTGATAATTTATTACTCATTTGTTGTGTATTGGTAAATTTAAGTTCACCAATTATAAAACAGTAGAATTAGGTAGTTTTGATAAAATATTTTAAACATAAGAATATGTATTATATATTATGCTAATTATTATTACTTAACAAATTACTTATTATTAACTAAATATTATAATGTATTTGATTGGTTACATAAATTTGGTAAATAAAAATAAAAGTAAAATTTATCCAATATTGGAATAATATTTTCTAAAAAGGTTAAATCTTTTTTAATTATTAATAACAAAGGCTTAATTTCATTAAAGATAAATAAGTGGCAATCATTTAAACCTGTACAATACAGTAACATTTGTATTTGTGTATAATATATATGACTATATTTTAACCCAACTTCACCATTTTTAACTTCAATATAGCTTAAGTTTGATTTTCCTGTTAATTGGTCAATTATAGATTTTTGTTTGCATGAGCTGGGGCATTTAATTTCTAAAACTGAAGAAATTTTTCCATTTTTTAATATCAAACCATCAGGACTGGCACTAATCCATGGTCTACAAATATGAACAACCAACCCACTTTTAACTACATCAATGTTGTACATATCACAGAACTTATTAAATGCCTTGTCTTCAGTTTGTAATCCATATTGTATATTACTGGCTCCTTTTCCTACAATTACAGTTTCATTTAATAAAGATATTGCTAATTTATTTTGACATTCTTCAGACTTATTCCTTAGTGTTTTTATTTTGTGTGCTTTTAAACTTGCTGATATGCGCATCTTTCGGTTTTGTTTCCAAGATAAATTAAGGGACTGATCGAGTGTTTGATTAAAAATTGATTTTATCATTGTTTCATTAACATAAATATTCTCATAGAAGTAAGTATGCTCAGTTAATGTTAGTGGAAATGCAGAATAGAATTTAGGAAAATCAGATTGAACTTGCTTGATGATAATATTGGACAAAAAATCATTGTAACTGTCATATTTTAAGCTTTGTTCAATATTATCTATAATATTATTTAAGATATTAGAGCATTGTCTATCAACTTCAGAACGTTGCTCTGAACACAAATTATAACTTAAACTACATGGCAATGAAAGTATATTGTGGTTTTGAATGAAATCATTATGGCTCAGAATAGGAACGTTATTATTCAATTGTTTTTGAGGGAAAAGATCTGATATTTTTTTGCCTTTTTTATATAAACTTTCACAATACTTTGCGGGTCTTCCCCATTGCTGTGGCTCATCAGTTTTTGAAGTTCCTTCTTCGGAATTAACATATATAATAAGGGCAGCTATGTGTTTACATTTAGATCCAGCCCCAGCTGGACATTGACACACAGCATTCTTTATGGTTCTAGTACTATCCAACTATTAAAAAACAAGAGAATTTGTTTTATTGTGAAGTGCTTTTATTTGAGAAAACAGTTATTGTAGAAAATAATACACACATTATGTACCAACATAATATGTGTGTTATATATGAATATAAATTATAAATATACATTTTACCTCGAGCTGTACTTTATATGGGTCTAAAGAAACACTTGTCTGCCTTACAACCAAACCAGTTATTACACAAAATCCTTCAATTGGTCTAAACTCCTGTACATTCAGGACATGATTGCTTTCATACAACTTTAAACCTTTATTATTAGAGAATTCAAAATGTGAATTTATGCTTTGAAAGCCATACTTTATTATTAAATTACTCATAATTTATTTTATTTTTTTTGAAAATAATTAATTCAGAACTTTCGAAGTTTGAACTTTCCATTATCTAATGGAATATCTTGGAAAATGGAGTATCATTATCTAATTTTAATTTTACAAGAAAACAATTGTTTAGGTAGGCACCTAGCTAAGAACCGAATTAAATGCACAGATTAGGCAGATGATCAAAAACATTTTAATATTAATTCAACCATTTAGTAATTATAAAATGTGACTATTTTTAAATAAATGTATATTAATCGACAGTTAAAAAAAACAATTATTTACAGTTTTTCACGCGTTTTCCCATATAACGTAATAAAAAAACTTGAATTTGATCCCCTGCACTAGTACAAGAGTTTACCACTAGACCGCGTTGTATTCCATCTCGCGCACGCAGTCTATAGCCATCGTAAGAACGCTACTGGGCGGCGACCAAAATTCATCCGATCTCGCGCATTCCCACCACTAAACCTTCCCGAACGCTGGACGCCGTCAACTCTGGCCGCCGCCACTGTCGCCGCCATCGCTACTGTCGCTGCCACTACTGCCTATTTACGGTGGCGACTAGATGGTAGAGTGGGAGAAACTTGGGTACGAAACTGCGGAGCTCGGTCATTTGGATGCGCGAACGAGTAGCGTTCTTACGATGGCTATACTATAGTGACAAATGTTCATATTTTAACTGCACAAATACACGTAGAAATACATCAAATATAATATTTCATCCTTTTCCATCAAACGAAGAAAGGTCCAAAATATGGATAATTAATTCTGGTAAGTAGCCAAGTAGGTAATTAACATTCGTAATTTATCTATAATATAGGTAAATAAAATCTGCAATAATATGGAAAAACATTTTTTAATTTAGGAAATATTAAACTAGAATCTCTAAGTCCCAAAAAGTTAAAAAAGAAGTTTGTATGTTCATCTCATTTCGAAAAAAATGCCTATTCTAATCCCACAGACCCAAAATCACGACTAAACCGTAATGCAGTACCAAACAAATATATAAGTAAGAAAAAATCATATTTTTGTGTATTTTATTTTTGACACATGCAAATAATATAAATTAAAAAATGTTAGATGAGTTAATAGATGATAATGTTCACGAAACAAATACGACTGTTGAAAAATCACCCATAAATTGGACATGGCAGCCGGCAGGTATCAAATCAAAATACTACCGAAGGTAGGTATACATATTATTATATATTTTAAATATATTTATTTTACAATGTTGTGCAGTTGTAGAACAGAGAGATGAATGTATTGATTTTACAATAATGCATGTTTAATTTTTCTTAACATTAATTTTGATTTGTGTCTGTGTACAGTGTAGTTTTTAAACGAAACTAAGTTTTCGAAATCAACTTTGGTTATTGGTGTAACTGTAAAACAAATGACCATACATTTATGAAATTTTTACTGTTTATAACATTAGCATTTACAATAATCGATACTTACAATTTTCAAAATATTTTCATTTGTTTTGACCTGTTTCAGTTTCCAATTTTTTTCGGTTTTTTTTCTATAGATGTCAATAAAATTATATATGTTGGGTAAAAAAGCTTGAAATTCAATATAAGACTTCTAATATACTGTAACAATGGCAGTTGAAAAATATCACAATTTTTTTTTATAAACATTTAAAGTTTGGATTTTGATAAAAATTCATCAAAATATCGAACATTCGCAAATTATTTTGTAGTTAAAGATTTATGAAATTTCCAGTCTATATAGCTAAGGTTAGAAAATTTAAAACAAGGTTTCTTGTAACTACCTAGTGAATAATATAAATAATAATATAATAATATATTTATTTAAATTTAACACTTTTATTTATTTTTAGGCGCATACACACAAGTTGATGAAACAATCATAACGACACCAAAAAAATCACGACATCGTCGTCAACAATTTACAGATGAAATGTTTGAAGGTCAGTATAATTTAAATTTATAGTTAATTTTTAGTTGGTACTAAAGAATGACAACAACACGAGTATGATAAAATCTATTTTACTATACCTACTTATATTTTTAATTTTTAAAAATTTGTAAATTTTAGATTCAGAGTGAAGTGATGAATTTATTGATTTTACAATGATGTGTGTTTTTTTAATTTTTTAATTTTTTAAATGTTTTTTGTTTATCATCACCTTTTAGGATAGTAAAAATACTTAGATTTTCTTCAACGGTATCTTTTCTGATAGGAAAGTAAATCTAGTTGATACTTTGTGGCCAGTAGTTTTCAAAAGCGCCATGAAAAACAAAAGAAAATTTAAGGAAAAACGGGAATTTTTACAGTATACAAATATAAAAAAAAAAAAATAAAATAAAAAATAAACACAATTGTAAAACCATTAGCTTCCTCGTTTCACTCAGAATCTAAAATTATAAAATATTCAGATTATAAAATTAAGGGGCGGTTTGCGTTTGGGTGAATTTTTAAAAAATGCTATGTGTTTGGGCAATTTTACATAATGCGTTTGGGCGAGTGATTTTCAAGCATTGTAATGTGTTTGGGTGATATTTTTTTAATATCCTGGAATGCTGCATTTTATCAATCAATTTTCTCTCTCGTTTTGACAGACTTGGGTTGTAAATGAATTCCACGGGTATGATTAAAAGTAGATTGTTTTTTTTTGTGTGTGATTAAAAATTGAAATGATTGAAAATCAAGTTAAAATATTAATAAAATTGAAAAAATTATATTATGTAAGTTATATATAAGTGTGTGTAATAAAAAATTAATATGATGTGCCATATTTAGATTGATATAAAATTCGCTATAGATTTTATATATTTTTTTTTCTCTTAATCATTACAAACTTATAACTTTATCTTTTACATTGTATCATACTCGCTTATACGAAACTCGCCCAAACACATTACTTTTATTGTGTGGGTAAAAAGGTAATTCGCCCAAACGCATGACGCCCTTAAGGGTCTCTTAATTAAGGGTTGAAAATTTAAAACATATATGAAAATTTTAGAGTATTTATTTATTTATATATTTTATATATTTATATATATTTTATAAACACAATGACTTTTTCAAATGTAATTCTTTTTGGGAAAACGAAAAATTTAATATCATAAAATATTATGTCTACCTATTAATAGTAATATTATAGGCTGACATACCGTCTTCGCTCAGAATATTTTTTCGTATACAATAATATTATATCATTGAATTCAAATTTAGTACCATCCATTTCAGTAACCTATTGTACAGCAAAGCGACATCCACTTGCCCACCTTTTTCAACTAAATGTTGTGGAAAAAATTTAAAGCGTTTGGTTTAATTTTGGAAGAATTATTACAAAGTTTTGGGTAATATTTCTT